AATGAATTCTTAAACTCTGACAGCCTCCACAATCTTATTATACGAACTTTTATCTTCCAATCAATGTCCTTTAGTAATGTAAACCTCGGAGCCATGTCCTTTAAAAAGAAAATGAAAGTAAAAAAGGATGAAACTTTTAATAATATGTTCACTATACATCAGCATTGAAACAACCAATCTTTAAAATTAAAACTTCATGCAAGCTTACCTAAAAATGATTTTCCTATGATTGATAGAGAATGTGTGAATCCTCAAATTAGAAGTACAAAAGTACCCAAATTAGAAAGTAGACAATGTATATATAGAGAGAGTATTTTTAGAAATAGGGAATATGATGGAACTGGACAATCAGAATGAAGTTTTGAAAAGAAAAATGCTTTAAAAATTAGAGGATAGTTGAGATTAATTGGCATTGAAAAGATGCAACCAATACATAGGAAATAGATATCCATAATTGCTTCTTTGAGTGAAAGACAAAATGCAAACAATTTAATGGGAAACGTATAAAGCAGAGAGGAAGAGGAAATGTTTTTCTTTTGTATAAAGCAAAAAGAAAGAGGATGAGTTTTTCTTATGTTCATAATTTATTAAAATAAAAAAATAAAATTCAGAATAATTATGATAAGATAAAATTACATAAGTACCCTTATTTTGAGCGGGGAAAAAGAATCACAAACTTCCTTCCTTTTATTATAATAAAGATAAAGATTCCATCCTCCTTAAATTAATTATCAATTTTGAATGTTTTACACATATAAGAAAAAGTAATAAACATACGTGAGAGAAAGATAGTGTTACAAAATCAACCCTATTTACTTTTACATAAAATAAAATAAAAATTGAGAGAGAACCTTAATGTTAAGGATATAAATAAAATAATATAATTAATACTACTTAGAAAGTTAAAATGACAAGTGTTTATTTTAAAAAATGGCAAGCATTTTGACACAATCTTTTTCTTCTTTTGTAGCAATTATTTTAGAACAGAAAAAAGTATAAATTTTATAAACTATGAGTGAGCTTATATACACGTTAATTTTACTAAACACAATCTTACTAACCTCAAGTTGTAACACTAGTTGAGAGGTGGAGTTTTTGGTGCCACAAATATGATCTCCATTGACTTCATTATGTGAACAGGAAATGAGAATAGTCCTGTAAGATAAGATATTCATACGTGGTGGTGCAACATGCATCAATTGTTCTTCGTTGAATTATATACGCATGTTCCTACCATTCATTCGCATTTAATTTTATGTATTGACGGGACCTATTAATTTTAACCAATAGTAAAGGAAAATATTAAATGCTCATTTTTGCAACCGCCATTGCTGGTTGCTGCTCCCATTTATACACAAAATCATTATAAGGTAGATAGAATTGGGAACACATTTTCTAACTCGTCTTTTGATATCGATCAAAATTTATTAAGAAGTTAAGATTATTAATGAAACTCATTAAATAAAGAACAAGGCATCACATATTTATAATTTTTTTTTATAAATTTCAATTAATAATAAATAATATTATCTCCATTTTTATATACACTACACAAATATCTAACTCACCAAAATTAATAAAAGTAGCAAGTATAGTTAATAATAATAATTTTTTCCCCCTATTTTTATAATTTTTTTTCCAAAACTATCCTTTTACAATAGTACTTTGTACTATATATTTTTCTCTACTAATTAATACTTTTCTTTCTCTTAGTGTCCATTTGGTTCAAAGGAAGAGAGGGGAGGAAAGGGATTTTAATGGAGGGAAAGAAAAAAAAAGAAGTCAGAAATTTTGTTTGGTTGAGAGAGGAGGAGGTAAGGGGAGGTAATTTTTTCTTGTTTGATTCACAGGGGGAATGAGAAAATTTTAAATTTTTTTTTATTATTATAATTTTTAATTTTAATGACATAAATAAAAATATTTTAAATATTATATTAAAAATATTTTAAAATTCATTCTTCCTCTCCAAATCCTCTAAATATTGGACGGGACTTAAAATTGGGTTAGGAAGGATTTTTCTTCTCTCCTCTTCTAAAACTTTAACCGAACAAAAAGATATTTAAAAAATTCTTTCCCTCCTCTCTAATTAGACACTATGTTAACCAATTAGAATGTCCTATACTATTTTATCTCCTAATTAATAATGTTCTATCTTTCCTAATCAATTAAAGCACACATATTTTTGAATAGCATATAATTAATGTATTTTACCAAATAAAATATTATAATTTTAAAATAATCTATACATAAAATAATATAAATAGTCTTGTAAATAACAACTATGCATGTAAAAAAAAATATTTATATTAAATAGTTACCGTGAGATGATGTATTACTAGCCTTTTAAGTTAAAAGGGAATACAAAACCTTTTGTTAAAGTATGAACATGAAGATTTTGGGTGTGCTTCCATGTGTTAGAACATGGCAATTATGGCCGCGGAGTGATTCTTATACCCCCTTTTTTTAAGGACATTTTTATACTCTTTTCTACACTCCTTTTACATTCATTATTATTATTATTATTATGCATTTGAATTCATTTGCATGTAATCATTTTATTCGAATAGCTATGCTCTATATTAGGGTTTAGACCGATCCAATATCATGGTCAATTGGTCATGGGTTAGTTGTCCATTGTCTTTTAATATTTGCCCCAAAAAGTACCCAAAAAAAAAGAAAGAATTGGGAAGTGTCATGTTCTGGGCCTTTGGGCTTTGAAGTTGTTGCGCGGTTGGTGTTTAGGGTTAGATGTATTGTAATCTTACGCTTGATAACACGTGACGTAGTCATTCATAACTTCACGTTCTAACGTAGACACTTAACAATTTAGATATGGTGTTTTTTTTTCTTTAATTTAAGTGCAAGGATCGAAGTTGGTTTGATTAATTAATGTTGTTAAATTAACGTTTATTTTCCATTTCAAGATAGGGGAGGGACAAGGGAGTACTTCAAATTGCAAAAAAGAAGGGCTATGCACGCAAAAAATAGAGTAAAATTTTGGCCAAAAAAAAAGGTTTGAGATTTGACCAAAACACAAAGGTTGTGGTTAGAGTTAGAGATGAAGTCAAAGTATGCGACGGTCTTCGTTGAAAAGCACCACTATTTCTGTGGAGACACGAGAGAATATGAGGAAAGCAATTGCGACGTATGATTCACGAATCACGAGGCAGTGTGAAAAACTTGGCATTCTCGTATTTTTTTTAATTTGTTCGTCCCAGGAGTATCCACCGCAGTAACTAATCTCCTCGCTACGTTGGAGGCACCTCAAAAGGTGGGATAGCTGGCCCCAAGATTTAACGCGACTGCATACACAAGGCAGGATTCGAACCCCTGACCTTGTTTAAGGGTGGATCAACCCCTGAACCACACGCTTGGGGTTGGCATTCTCGATTCTCGTATGAACAAACTAGTAATGTTTTTTCTTCAATATACCCGCATGCAACTAAATATGGTTTAACGACACTTTCAATCGTGAATAATTTGAATTTTTAAAAACAAAAGTAAAAAAAATCCTTATCCTTTCATTTATTAATGGACCGTGTTATGTTTGGGTCAACGAGAGATATTTGACCAACAAAGATAAAAAAAATATAAATTTACAAGAAAAAAAATGAAAGAGTTTTTTTATTAACCAAAAAAATATTCTATTTATTGAAGAGTAAGAAAAAAAAAAATCTAAATGCACAAGAATCTAATTAATAATATAAATATAAAATTTTAATATTTGTACTATTTTTTAAAGATTAGTAAATATGAGACGGAAGGTATAATAAATATGCCTTTAACAGTAATTAAAGATACAGTACATTGATAAGACAACAAATTAAGTCTGAAGGTGTCAATACAGTGATTTGGCATGTCAGGTTGTTGGGGAGATGATTATTAAATTTACATTCCCAACGACATACTACTAGTGCTATTCTTTTTTTTTAAATATGTTCTTTTAATAGTTCGATTACTTCGATCGATTTTAGATATTAAATTCTTTTATTTAATTCACATGCAATAAAAATTATATATTTTTTAAATTATGTTATTGGTATAAATTATTTATTAACTTTTTAACGGCTGATTTCCGTAAAAAAAAAAAGCTAATTTGAAACATTATTTAATAAAACTGAGTTGAGTTCTTTTTTATTTATGTGAAAAAGTAATTTTAAACTATATAAAAATAATATATATATATATATATATATAAGATGATTTGATGTATTCTATGTTTTTTCCTTTTTAGAAGAATTTTTAATTATAAATAATTTAATTTTATTTGAACTTTTACGCCTAAAACAATTTTATAATAATTCAACACAAAGTGATTATAAGTTGAAAGCTCATATTCTCCCGATATTGATACAATTTGTTGGACAATATTAAGTGCAATTACTACAAAATATAGAAATTCTAATCAACATCATAATTAATCAAACGTTCCTTTCAAATATTAGTTTCTAGTTTCTAGTTTCTAATCAATGTGTAAATTTATGGGACATATAAAATCACATACTTCACAAGCAATACACCTATGAAATTCAAAATGCATTCAGTCAAAGAAATGTTTTGATGAGATTATTTCTTTCATAAAAATATCAAGTAGTTACATGCAACTGATTTGTATAAGATAGGATATTCATGAAACTTTAACCAATGTACCTTACCGCTCAAATGATTTATTAACACTATAATTTATGATGAATTGAGTTACACAGAGAACAGACATTGAATAATTCCCAATATTTTTTTCTTTATATTGTTTGAGAAAAAAAATAGAAAGGAAATTAGACTAACACAATTAAATTTTTTTAATAAATCTTAAATGTGTACATAGAAGAATATGTTGGAAGTTAAGATTGCTGCATTTTTCTGAAATGTACTATAGTTGACATTGTTTTTTCAACTTTAGACGTACGTCACGTTGGCAACTCATACGTAGACGTGGAGTCAAAATCTTACCTATAATTATTAAAAGCTGGTACTGGTGTGGTAGGATCCAGACCCTTTTTTGGGGTGCTTAGCCCTTACTTCAATCTTTGAAGAGTCAAACTGCACAAACTCAACCCTTCTGTTGGTTCAATGAGTAGTAACTTTCCTTTCATTGACTATGCTATTTCCTCGCTTACCCTTTGATTCACTTATTTATCTAAACCCCATAAACTGCATATTTTCTTCTTCTTGCACACAAATACTGTTTTTTCATTCACACCCTTTTCATCATTGGTGGTGGTGTTCTGTCCCGAGGAAGAAAAAACTTTCATCATGGGAAATTCTTGCAGAAAACCAGTGGCTCATGTGTCTTCCACAAGTTTCTTTGGTTAGTTTTAGTTTGGTTGTTATTTTAATCATATTTATACCATATATGTGTCTAGCTTCATTTCCAAGGCACAAATTAGATGACTTCAATTACAACTTTGTTGTAATCACTTAGTACTAGTTATGCCACATTATAGGTTGATGATGATGAATTGGTGATGCATTAAATTTTAATCAGTGTTTGTTATAGTTGATGATTCCATTTTTCTCGCTTTGGTTTCCACGGAGAAGGGAAGAAGGCGATGTTTTCCAAAGGGTAAAAGTTAAAACAATAGTTCATAGGCTGTAACGTGAAAGATTATAAGACTAGATATTCCTGAATGGACCTTCTTCTGTTGTTTCTTGTTTGTTTATTCTTCTCAAATCCTTGGCTTCCTAAGATTGAATGAAGTTTTTGTATTTTGGTTAACTTAAATATAAAACTCCTGTATTGGGTTAATATTGGTCTCAAAAGATGGAGATGTTGAGGCTTCTTCGCTCTGATTCAGGTTCTAAGTAATGTTGAATGATTTTTGCTTTTCTTGGGCTAGTTCATAAATGAAATTGGTTGAGCAAAAATCATTCAATTTAAGTTTGGATTTTTAATGGGCTTTGGTTGTTTGTTCATTATTGTTCTTATATTTTGTGCATGCAGTGTCCCCCCATCACACACATGTGGAACTCATCTCTGTCCCAATGACTATCTTATTTTATTTTTACCCCAATTATATTTTTGTGTTCAATTCTTGTTTTTGTACCAAACCTAGAAAACAAGTTGGTTTTGTTAGTATAAATATGGCTTATTTAGCAAGTTCAAGAGGGTCGTCTATAAGGTAAGTAACTTCACAAAGGTGTGCTTGAGATATGAAATCAAAGTGTGAAAATCTTTGTGTGAATGTTTGGTTATATGTGCCAAATTTGGATATATTGTTCAAAACAAAATGTTGGTGGTGCACATAGTTACACATCATACTTAATTGCATCCTCTCCTTTGGCAACTCATAGCTAGTAATCTACCTCTACATGTTACACATAACAGTGCAATATTCTGCACTAAATTTTAGAAGCTACTCTAATGGCTTATTTTAACATGCATTTCATATACTCCCAGGAAGCACAAAGTCTCAAAGTAAGAAAAAACAGAACTCAAATTCTCCTGAACAAAAATTTTCTTTAAAAACTTCTTCAGCATCAATTGTTGACAAACCCATCTCCAACAACCTTAAGATCTTCACCTTCAATGATCTAAAAGAGGCAACTAAGAACTTCAGGCAAGAAAACTTAATTGGAGAAGGAGGGTTTGGGTTTGTCTACAAGGGATGGATAGATGAGATCACCTATGCTCCCACAAGACCAGGGACTGGAATTGTAGTGGCCATAAAGAAACTTAAACCAGAAGGCTTTCAAGGCCACAGGGAATGGCTGGTATGTCCAAGTCGAACACCAACTCTTAAACTGTTTCCTAACTGGTTGGTCTGGACTGATTTTCTGACTTTTTTGTTTGCAGGCAGAAGTCAATTATCTAAGCCAGCTTCACCATGAAAATCTGGTGAAACTTATTGGTTACTGCTCAGATGGTAAAAACAGGCTTCTAGTTTATGAGTTTATGCAGAAAGGAAGTTTGGAAAATCATTTATTTAGAAGTGAGTAGTACATTCACTCTTCATTCTAATTTTAGCATATGCATGAGTTAATTTTAGTTTTTGTGAAGAAATTCTTTTTTTTCTTCTTATTTTATTCTCAAGTGTTTATGAAAAAATTTATCTAAACAACCTATTAATCTCAAATGATCCATTGAGTAATAGGATCTATTTAAATAAACTTATTCAAAAACACTTCTAAGAAAGAAAAATATAAAGGAAAAATGAAATAAAATTCTTCATAAACTAAAATTAATTTTGGTAGAAGTTTTTTCCCGTTAACTTCTTCAAAATCTTATTTTTAACTTATTCATAAGCTAGTTTTAGTTTATTAAAAAAATTATTTCAATTTTTCTTTCTACTTTTTTAACCAAAAAGTGTTTCTAGACAGGTTTATCCAAACAGGCCATAATGTGAAACATATTGTTTTGAACTAAACCATAAATTTTGTTTTCTATTACTGCAGAAGGTGTTCAACCTATTCCCTGGATTACTCGGATCAATATTGCAGTTGCTGTTGCAAGAGGATTAACTTTTTTACACACTCTTGATGCAAATGTTATATATCGTGACTTAAAGGCTTCCAATATCCTACTTGATTCGGTATGTAATACTGAAAGTTTGGCTTGTGGATCTGTGAAGAAAACCACACTTGCTGTTTTGCATGCAAGTCTTCATTCTGAAAGAGTGGCACTGTTATTTATCATTTATACAGGATTTCAATGCAAAACTTTCGGACTTTGGCTTGGCAAGAGATGGTCCTACTGGAGATAACACTCATGTTTCAACCAGAGTTATTGGAACTCATGGTTATGCTGCACCAGAGTATGTAGCTACAGGTAGATTCGCCTTTCCATTTTTCTTTATCTTTATCAAAGTGTTAGGTTCTTATCTTTTGGATGTTAAATGGAAAGTACCTGGAAGATGCAATGGTGCAGTGTGACTCTAATAATGGACACTAGTGACTTTTTATTCTAAAAGTTCATTTGGACACCAGTTTGAATGCATACTAGTTCATTATACCAATGTGTTAGTACTTGGTATAAGAGACCTAGTACATAGCCTAGGTATCTGCCACTTCTTCCTACAGGATCACATGTCAAAATGAAGTATTGCATGTTTGGTTCCCCATTTAAGATATGATTTTTCATGTTTACTAAGAAGTTAATAGTTGTACCTATCACATCTCTCATAGGTGATTTTTTACTTCTCAATGGGTTCCAAACATGCATGCGATCAAATTGACCCTTATATTTGCAATTATATATAATAGAAAACACAAAGCAAATTAGTTCATTTCTTCAAACTCTAGAGTTTTCTACATATATAAGTCTTTTTGAATACAACCTAAAAGGACTTGCCAAAACTTTTCTATTGAAAATAAATAGTTTTTTTATTTCTAATAGAGAAACTCTTAAAAGTCTTTTTAAATTTGTATCCAAACATACTTTAAGACAAATACCAATTAGTGTTCCATTTTCTGTAGCGTTATGTTCATGATTTCTAAAGTTGACGAGCCTATCTTTTCTATGACTAAACAAACAGGTCATTTGACACCTAGGAGTGATGTTTACAGCTTTGGAGTTGTGCTGCTAGAGCTACTAACAGGAAGGCGCGTAGTTGAGGATGAGAGACCTGGATTTTCAGAAGAAACACTTGTAGATTGGGCAAGGCCATTCTTGAGTGATAGCAGAAGAATTTTGAGAATCATGGACACGAGGTTGGGTGGTCAGTACTCCAAGAAAGGAGCACAAGCTTCAGCAGCACTTGCACTACAGTGTCTAAACACTGATCCTAAGTATAGGCCAACCATGGTGAATGTTCTAGCAACATTGGAATCATTACATTCCTTAAATTCATTTCCAAGGACCCCAAAATCTGGAAATGATAATCATACAACCAAGCATTCTAGTCACTCCAACAAGTCTGCCTCAAATAGTAACAAACTATGAGCTACTAATGCTTCTGCATCCCAACAAGTGTTTTGTTCTTTCAATTTTGAGGCTAAGTGAATATTTTCATCCAGGCGTGGGGCAAAGTATAATTCAGTTTTTGGTTCATTAGTAGAAAGCACTATTAAGCAGTTGGATGCTTATGATATGAAATCAATTGTTTTAAATGGTATAGTTTTTAATTTTAATTTTTTGAAGAGTTGAAAAGGATATATACTATAGTTAGAAAAGGGTATCTGTTGGGAAAAGTGGATCCTTTAAATGCATATAGTTTTTCAAGGATTAGTGTTTCACTTTCAACTAAAAATATCCTGGGTTGAAGAAAAAATCCAAAATTTGTAACTTCAGCATTGCTACATTCATTAAATTTATCTATGTAGAATTGTATACTTTTTTCTTTTATATTACTTAGCGCATCATCTCGATCTCCAATATTATTCATCCCAAACATTTGTTAAAAGTGAATACCGAAACTAATGAAATAAAATAATGTTTTCTTAAGTCACATATATTCCTTTCATTTTTAGGGTTATTTAGTCTCCTAAAAGTTTAAAACTTTTAATTCAAATTAACTGCACAAACTTTAAATTCATGCTATTATTAACATAAAATAAGTTTTGATGGAAGGTAGCACTGTAGCTTTTTGAACATCGAGTCTTGCTAATTAATGCCTTTAGCACAATGGTTAAGGAACCAATAATAAAAATTACATTAGACTGTTGTAAATAACATAATTATCTTGAGATCTATCAATATCTTATTTAATCTTTTATTATTGTTTCTTTTTATGATTTTATATTTTTATATTTAAGTCATAGTTTTCTTATTTTAGAGATAGTAGTTATTTTTCTTTAAAAGCGTGACTAGAAAATGTAATTAGTGTGAAAAATACTATTAATAAAAGTTGCTTTTTTCAAGTTAGATATACATAAAAAAATCATAATAAAGTACATTAATAATATTTTTTAATATATTTTTACACTTATCATTCTTTAATTAATGTTTGACCAACAAAGGTTGGTAAAGTTGGTAAGAAACAAATTTATATATAAAAATTTTATTGATGAATAATCTATTAGTATTTCTACAAGCTCTCATGGAGTTTTGAGATTTGTCCAAATCCTAATAAGCTCACAGGATCTAATTTATCTAAATTTTCAAGTATAAAAATGAAAAATTATTGGTTGACATTTGTTTAATTAAAATAAAAGAATAATTTTTTAAAATTAATCTTATGATTAATTTTATTTGTTAGAAATAATACAATACAATAATCATTTTTCTAAAAAATATTATTAAAAGTATAAATGACAATAAAAATATAATTAATATTATATTAAAAATTAACACAACACTTATTTAAAAAAAAAATCTAACATGAAACTTAATTATAGAACAGAGAATTAATATCTTTTAATAACAAATAATTTACAATTATACATGTAGAATATGTTTAATAAAATTACACAGCAATATAGATACAGATGATATTGTTAAAATTCATTAAAATTGTGAGTTTCAATTCTATTTAATGATCTTCTTTCATAATTTAGTAATTAAGATTATCAATTAAGTTATCCTAAATAAATTATCGGTAAACAGATTGTTACACATTTTGAAGTAATACATTCATTCGTATTACGTACTATATTGAAATCGATGTATAATGAAAAAACTACAAAATTAGAAGTTCACTATTCTTTTGATGCTTTTGATGCAGTTATGTTAAAGACAACTCTTAAAATACATGTATTATGTATACATCACAAAGATTACCAAGTAGTGATGAAAAAGATATACCAGAATATTGACAACTCTTACTGCATGTATGCATCACAAATGCTACCACATACTTCAAGTAATGAGAATAATATTTCAGAATAGTAAAAATGCGTATATCATATCTTTTTCTCAGTAACTTATCATTAATAATCTAATTTTTCTCAAATTTATAAGTTATCACCAAAGCATAGTACTAATAATCATTATAAGACAGTAAATTTACTGTTGCCATCCATACTGTTGTTGATTGCGGTTTCCACCCATCATGTTTGAGCCACGACCAGCCGTTGAACCCCCATACGGGCCACCTTGTTGGGGATAATTTGGAGCTCCAACTCCATAGCCGCCACCACTGCTGCCACTGCCACGAGGACCACCACCAGACATATTATTGGACCCATAAGGTGCACCGCGTCCTTGAGGAGGATAAGGTCCACTGCCATAACCACCACCACCTTGACCTCCTCTATTTGGATGATTATATCCTCCACCTGGGTTCCCACTTGGGGGATATCTTCCTGGTCCACCTGATGGACCTCGAGGCTTTCCATAATGATGAGTAGGTCCTGCAGCAACTTGGGGTTGAGAGTGAATTGTTTGATTTGGTCCGGATCGCATTTGGGCATGTTGCCCAGGCTGTTGAATGGGAGGAAGACGAGGGTGCTGCATTTTCTGACGTTTAGCCATTTCTTCATTTTGCCTTTGTTGACGTTTTTTCTTTGTCTGAAACTCATGTGATGACTCGTATTTGGGTAAACTAAAACATACAAAAGAGTAGTAAGTAACGTTAAAAGGAAAGGAATTACTCAGACATTTAAATGGATTACGTAGAAAAAGTAACATTCTCAATAGATAATTAACAAACGTAGTCTTACCTCTTGGGATCACATGGTAATGGATCTGTCCAGAAGTATTCGGCATCAAGTGCATCTTTTGCAGTAATTCTCTGTAGAAAACAAATTGACAGACAAATATTAAGACGCAAATCACGAAGAAAAAAACAAATTGACAGACAAATATTAAGACGCAAATCACGAACAAAAATAATTATCATACAACCAAGTCAGAATACACTAACAACAATACACAATTTCATATTTATAAATGACAGCACAACAATAATTACTTTACAAAATTTGTCTTTCACTAGCACTATGCCATCAATATTTTTTTCACCACTTCTCTATTATCTTAAAGTTTCTCACAAAGAAAAACAGAAGCATAACATTTTATACGAGAATTTTGTCAATATACAACAATGACATAACAACACATGCAGATGCTGTAAACCTCGTCAATTAAAACCAGATTTGTGAGATAAAAGATAAAACTGGAAAAACAGATATTTGAAGCACTTAAAATAGAAATTCAAGATAGTTTAACAATTAATAAATGAAACTTATAATGAAGAAATGATACCTGAGCCGGATCAAGTGTTAACATCTTCTCCAACAACTCTAGAGCATGACGATCAAAACTATAAGTCATAAGGAAACAAGCTATTTAGATATAAAAAAATCCTGGAAAAAGGAATACACGCTACTTTTTTGATTGAATACTTACTGCCTAAAAACTTCCCTCAAACGTCTTTTCATCTGCCTTGTTGGCTTAAATTTATTATAATAAGGTATCTTAGAAACTCCAGGCCAATTGACCTCATCTGGTGCTCCACACAGCTCATATATTTTATTTAATTGTTCTGGCTACAATGATTATAAACAAAAAAAAATGTATTACATTTAAACAGTACAAAAAAATTTAAAAAATTATCATGAGGATATTACAATAATACCATATATACTAAAAGAAATATCTGGAATGAATGCAATAAGACTAAATTTCTGAAAAGCATTGAGCAGGTTAAATCCAACAATCTATCCAAACATAATCATTAGCATTTGATATTTTTTGACAATTAAAATATAAAATCAAAGTTTAAAACAAAAATTTAGTCCCCATACCTAACACTATTTTTCATTTTAGTTTCTGCACCAAAACTCACATGAAAAATATTTACAAATGAAACCCTGTTATTAAATTACTATTAAATTTGGAACCTATACCGGATACTTTGTTGTACAAAAACACACTTTGTTTTGGTCTCTAAATAAGAAAAAAATCTTGTATATTATTATCAGATCAATCATTCACCAATTTAGCTTGAAATTCTCACAATTATAATACATAGAATATCATTAACCTCATCTTTTCCAGGAAAGATCGGCTTCCCTTGAAGAAGCTCAGCAAAAATGCACCCAACAGACCACATATCTACAGCTGGCCCATACTTTGTTGTCCCTAGCAGCAACTCAGGTGGTCTAAATATATAACCAAAAAAACTGAATACATGCATTGGCCAGCCTCATAACTCATGACAAAAATTGACTCCTCCAATTACCTGTACCATAATGTAATGACACGATTAGTAAGATTTGCATTTTGGTCATTAGAAAATGATCGTGCCAGTCCAAAATCTGCAAGCTTAACATTTCCTTCATTGTCTATAAGAAGATTTGAGCCTGCAATAGAACAAAATGCATCAAATAAGAACAGCAGATTTAATATTCTGATCTAAAAACATAATCTTTTCAATACACAAACCTTTGATATCACGATGAAGTACTTGATTAACATGACAATAGTGAAGCCCCGTCAAAAGCTGTCTCATGTAACACTTATGAAGGGAAACACAACTCAGACAACAATAAAATGAACAGCTATTAATATATGAAATTACACTTGGTATTAACAGTAATACCTTAATTTGAGGAACTGTAAATCTCATCCCAGGTCGGTCAGCAAGACCTGTTAAATCATGATCCATGTATTCAAAGACCATATAGATGCCACCTTTATATTTGTTACCATCTGCAATCATCAAAACAAGAATGAAAATCAGACGAACTAGGTTTAGTATGCAAACCCCAAAGGGAATTGATTGAAACATTCACACTGATAGAACTATAAAGCAAATTATGAGCTACTGTCCAGCAATTGGCTAATAAAATGAGAATGGATGACTTGCCAGGTCTCCCTTGTTCATCTTTCTCGGGACCTGAAAGAAAAAACACAATTTTAAATATAAATAAAACAAAAATTTAAATCCTAAATCAGTTTGATAACAAAGCACACATAGATCTTGAAAAAGGTACCATCAGAAGTCACAATTTCTTTCAGCTTGATCACATTTTCATGGTGTAGTTTCTTTAGAATCTTGATTTCTCGTATAGCAGTTATAGGAAACTGTGATGGCAAAATATACAACACGGTTCAGAGAAAAAATGCTTAATACATAAGTAGTAACAGATTGTGAATGTAACTTCTGATATAGGTTCACTGAATAACATGTACAATGAAAAAGGTTGTAACAAGAGATGAGACAAATTAGTAAAGTTTCAAATGAAGCAAATATTTGAATCAAATAAATACCCCTTCTCTCTCATTGTCCATTCGTATTTTCTTGAGAGCAACAACTTCACCAGTTTCGATCTCTTTAGCCATGTAAACCTGACTGCAAGCATAAATATATGAAGGTATAGATCAGTTGAATTCGGACAATATCAGCAATGAAGTGGAAACAATTTTTTCCCTCTGATTGTGAAGTCAAAACAAGAGCTTAAGGAACATAAAGAAAATAAAAGATACATTGATATGTACAAAGCAAAAACTAGGCAACATTTTAAAGGTGTGATGGAGTTGGGAACTATATAGAAAGAAGAAAACAACGAGGCAAAAGGTACTACTTCAGGAACAGAAAAGATGACAAGGGAACACAATAGAAGAAGAAATTGCATAAGAGAAACACACAAATAAACCATAAAGAACCAATTAAGGTTTTGAAAAATGGTCTGCAACATTACGGATTTTGAGGCCGTTGCGACCACATCACAACCATAATAGCAGTCACATTCGTCTACAACTTCCCACAATATCAAGTATTGTAACGAAATCATAAACGAGACCAAAATTCAAAACCTTGAAACCAATAAATGACTTAAAAAATTATTGCTCATGAATCAAGAGTTCTAAAAGCTCATGATTAAGTTGCTTTCGAATTCAACCAAGCCCAAGCGAATCTCTCAAATAATCCCAACAGAGTGTCGCACAGTGATCAAGCATATATAAATGACTTAATAAATTTTCATCTTCCAATTTCAAAGAATTGATTATGATAACGTAAAGATTAAGCAGTACACAGATTGAAACAAACCCATATGTGCCCTCGCCAATTTGCTCCAATTTCTCGAAGCAATCGACACTTCTGGATCCCGCAGTGGGGGATTCAGTAACGTTCACCTGCCCTAGGGCTTCGATAGTCATTGCTCCCTAATCTTCCAAGAACCGAAATTCGAATCCAACAAAGAATCGAATGAATTAGGGTTTCTCGCGCGCAAAATTTTCCCAGAAAATAGACAAGCTGATATTTGGCTGCTTAAAACTGAAAATTATAACAAAAGAGAAAGAAAAAAATAGAATGTAATATATATAT